TTCTTCAGATTGTTATTTTTATTTGGTATATCAGAGTTTCTGATGTCTTGGCTACGTGTTTCATTCTCAGGAGATGTGCTCTCTTTATAATAATTATGATCTGATACGTCTTCATTAGAAGCTGTCTGAAACAAAAACCCTCCATTATATATAAAAAAATTTAGGCACCATGAGATAAAAAAGTACTCCCTCTGTCCCATTAAAAGTGTCGTTTTTTTTCTTTTAGACTTCTTGTTTGACCGTTCGTTTTATTCAAATTTTTGTATAAATATTATTTATTTTGTTATTACTTATTTTATCATTAGAGATACTGTCGGGTTCATAAACCCGGGGTCCCTAATTGACCCGCTTCTCTGCAATACTTGGCCCAGCAGGCGGCGCAGCGACAGCGCGCATCTGGGCCGGCCCAGATACACAATGACAGGCCGAGACTACGATCCGATTTCCGACCGGCACCTCCGGCCAGGAGACAAAATTACAAATATTTACTTGTCGGCCACATTTCGCACCGACAAATACTTTAGTGACGATTTTATTTATTTTATTATTTACATAAAAATTTGAATAAGACGAGTCTAAAAGTCAAAAACTACACCCTATCAATGGGACGGAGGGAGTACCAACCAACTTTTTTTCAAAGGAAGGAAGTAAAACTCCCGTCATATCATGATAAAAAATAATCAAGGTGCCTTTAACCGTCTTTCCAATGGCAATAATGTGTCGTGAAGACTTGTTATGCCCTATGTGAAAGAAGTGCTTTAGTAAAAGCAACAGGAGGAGGAGAATAATTATCATTGCTAATTATTACCACGGGGGAGGCCAAGGCAAGCCCTTCAAGAATGCAATGATCCAAGGAGCTGGACACGGCATGCATGGTAGATCATCAAAGGGGGGGAAAGAAAAGGGGAGGGAAGCAACTGTTGAATGAAGTGGAAATAAAGGGGGCAAAGGAAAATGATAGCTGGCCATGAGAGTGAGTGAGAGCTAAGAGCTAGCGGTTCAACAATGCAATGATCCCTGCCATCCAAAGCTACCTCCCCTCAGCTGTTAGATCTACTAGCCGGAGCAAAAAAAGAAAAGGAAGGAAGAAAGAAAGAAAAAAAAAGAAGGGAAAATAAAATAAATGAAAAGGCATAAATTGAGCAACGAAAAGAAGGCTTTAGGGAAAGTAATCTTTGGGTGATTAGTAATTAGCAAGGCTTCCATGCATGGTAAAAGAAAGAAAGGAAGAAATCATGTTACCTCGATGGATTCAACCGCCAGGGTGGGGGCGTGTGAGTGTTGAATTGAATTTTTTTAAGAGAATAAAGCGAGGAAATTAAAGGCCTCTCGTACGGGCTGTTGGCTGCCTCACTCACCCCTCAGTGTCACAGGCAGCTCACAGCTAGCTGATGCTGATGGCTCGTGCGCTCCCCGTCCTCGTCGCGTCGGGCCTCCACACGTGTGAGGGCCACCGTGCGGAACCACTCCCTTTTTTGCTTTGCGTTGCCCTCGTCCTAAATTATGCCTTTTAATTTCGCCGAACAATCTGTCGAGGACTCCCAAAAAGAGATAGGTAGAAGCTAATACCAAGAGGATCTACGAGAGTTTTCAAAACCTACTCCTAATCTCGATTTTCTAGCACTTGTAAAAATCGATCCTCTTGGTAGATCATCTCCAATAACTCCCGGTTTCAACTCTCAATCTTTCCGCACTTGTAAAAATCGATCCAATCTCACGGTGTGGCGTAGATCTTGCACCGGGTGGGATGGACTTTCTCACGAACTCCTCCTAAGTCCCCCTACAAATTAGTACTCATAGGAGCTATGGAAAAAAGGGCTAGAGACCAAAGACAATGGAATAAATCTTTCCTAACTTATTTGTCTACTGGATCTGCCGCTCAACATCATTATATTATTATTATCTTATTTCACTCGACGCATGGCAATAGACAGTAAAGAAAGGCCACGAATTGGATCGAATTATTCGGAAAGTTTGGACATGGCTCGCTCGCCACAGATCTCGGCTCTGAACTCGGAGCCACAGATCTTGGTTCCGAGCTCAACGCCAAGATCTGTGGCTCTGACCTCGGAGCCGTGGATCTCGGTTCCGAGCTCAGAGCCATGAATCCTGGCGTCGAGCATGGATTCAAACTATACCAATATCCATACCCAATTCATTTTCCACAATTCACCGGTTTGGTTTGCTGTTGCACCGGTGATTGCAAACCTGAAGGTAGCTTGTTTATTGCATAGACTAAACGAAATGAACATGAATTACCTGCTGGGAGGCAGAGAAACGTGCAGCATGATTTTCGTCCTCGATACGATTCTCCGCTTTTATACTAGATTGAAGATGTCGACGATCTCTTGATTGTATGCACGTCTGATACCATACTGAGTTACAGTGTCTCCGAAAGGACCGTATGTTCTTTTTTGTGTGTGATATCCGTCTATTGTCATCTACTCATTTGTCATTACTGTCAATGCCTATAGTCATCTACTCATCTGTCAATGAGGCAGCTCGGCACGTGCAAGTTCGTGAACTCCATCTGGTAAACTCCGGTCCTGAACTTGGAATACAAGGGGATTTTAGATCCTGCCGGCTGCCGCTTTTACCTCATCTGAGTTTTGAGGCTGGCCATTGTTAAATCTGAAGGAGGAAGAAATGAAAGCGGTCTCGGCAAAGGAAATTTGGCCGTGGGTTTTGAATCCATGCTCGGCGTCAGGATCCATGGCTCCGAGCTCGGAGCCGAGATCCACGGCTCCGAGGTCGGAGCCGCAGATCTTGATGCCGAGCTCGGAGCCAAGATCTGTGACTCCGAGGTACTGGTCACGTCAACGCCACCTAGGATGCCCTGCTGTGCATGGCCAGGCACCTCGGAGCCAAGATCTGTGACTTCGAGACGTGTTACCTCGGAGTCATGAGTCCTGGCGCCGACCCCTAAGGTTCAAAGATGAGTTTACGTCTACTAGGGGGCCAAACGTAAATTTTCTTAAAAAATGACTAAATTATAAAAAATTAGGATGGGTAGACAAGGATTACTGTTCATGACCCGTATTATACGTACGTAGGTCCGGTCAGCAGGTATTTAATTTGCATGTTCGTATTGATTTGTGCTACGTACGTACGTACGCAACAACTAGTGCGTGTTGCATATATACTTTATCGTGGTTGCGTGATGATCGGATATGCATGCATGATGCATGGATGGATGTGCGGATCGGAGGAGGATGCATGGGGTTTTGATGATTACTTTAAGCTAGAGGGAAGTTACCACTGCGGGTTCATTCATATTCATTCCAAGCGGCCATGATGGCGAATGAGTAAAATCCTGCCGATCTTCCCCAACCCCAACCACGGCATGCTGATGACTGATGGCTGCCGCTCGATCGCTTTCCTCATCATGGAAATCTCACTTGCAAGCCAGCTACAAACTCGGTCATCAACCACCTCGCTCCTCGTTCCTGCCTGCAGATGCATTAGCATTAGCATTAGCATTAGTGTTACCGTACTTGCTAATTTACTTTATTTTTTACTACCATTAGCAAGTGAAAAAACGATGGACGAAGTTTTTGGTGTAGTATGTAAGTACGTGTTTTTGTATGACTTTTTTTTTTTTTTTTTTGCGAGAGTGAATTTGATCTAGGAAAAATCTGAAATGAATTGTGATTTGAAACGGGGAAGCTAGTACTTTGCATTGGCTTTACGCGATCATTGCATCCAATTTGATTCGCCTATGGTCCTGAATATATGATGGTGATTAGGCACGGCCGGGGCAGAGGATCAAGGTCAAGGAATCGGGGTGGATGGAGACAAGTCGATCGACACGGGAGGATCGAGTCTGCTCATCAGCTCAGTCGATCCAAAGCACTGAAAGCTACGCAACCAAAGATTTGGCATGCATGGGCCGCCCGGGTTGCCATCTTCCATAATGCTGTCCACAGGTCCATCCGGGCATCAACAACAATACTAATCATGCCATCTGACCATTTCTTTTCTTTCCTCTTTTTTACCAACGCATTTCTTTTTCTCCTTTCTTATGCGTCCTATAATTCTTATATATATGACAAACAATGGTTAGTAACTATGCATACCCTGAATTTTATATTCCTCTAATATATTATACCTTTTCCTTTCACTATGCCTATGGTTACGCTTGGAGCCGCAACGAGAATATTCCGCACCGATCGGCACTATCTCTTTTTTTTTTGTATTCTATGATACTATTTTTGAGATTTTGGTATAACTGTTGTTATATTTTTATTATATTATTAATAAAAAAGAAAAAACATCATACTTATCGTTCTCGGATTTTGTGTTATATAGCATCGTTTCTGACCGTTTTTATCTCTACCTATATTGAATACAATAAATTTTCGATACTAGAGTAGAAATATTTTTATTAATTTTCTAAAGAATGTATTAGTCCTACATATCTCATAAACAGATTGCCACACTACGTGCCTCATCAATCGATCATATATTTCATTACCTATAAACTGTGGTCCAAACGAAGAAAGCAACGTAGTATAAGAGAAGGCAGAAATGGGATACCATAACACCCTAAAGAATGACATTGTCTATGATCATCAACCTATATATGGCCAACACACACACACGCAAACACGCAAATCTCTCCCAACACTACTCCTTTCGTTCTAACCCTCCACACAATCCAATCCCATCCACAATCCATAAAACAAAAGGCATCATTGATGCTTACTTAAACCGCACCACACCCAACCCGACCCAACGCAACGCAACCGATGCCAACTCTATCTATAAACCCCTGCAAGCAAAAGCAAACCGCACCCACACGGCGAAGACAAGGCGCGCACGCACACGGCACGCGGCCTCACGGCGTCACCTGCTCCGCTGCCGTCCAGGTCCATTTAGCGAGGCGGGCGGAAAGGGAGGGAGCGGGGCGAGAGTCGAGCGGAAGCCCCGACCCGACCCGGAAGAAGAGGAGAGAGAGCGAGGGAGAGACGGGGCGCGGCGAGGAGGCCGGCGGCCAGGCGATGGGGGAGGTGGCCGCGCTGCGCCAGCTCGTCGGCCAGGTCCAGGAGCTCTGGGACCTCTACGGCGCCAACGCCCATCCCCTCCCCAGGCAAGGCGAACCAACGAAAGCCTCCTCTCCCCCTCTTCCTCTCGCACCACCCCCTTTGGTTACTCCGCTCTCCCACCTCGCGCTCTCGTCCGCGTCGTCTCCCACCCCCGCCTTGCGCGGATCTGCTGGCTGCGGGGGTTTGCAATCGCATCGCGAATTTGCTGACATCGCTAGCTGCTTTTTGTTTGTTCGTTCGTTGCTTGATTAATTGATCTGCCGGGCGTGCTTGTTTCACTTACCCAAGCAGATTAGATCGCGCAGATCTTCGGCATGCTTGTCCGCGCCACACAGGATTTCCGTTCACGATCCACTGTCTCCGTCTCCGAGAATTGGTGTTACCTGTGTCCCCCTACTTCGCGCTAGATTTAGCAGGGCTCAACGGAGGACCAAGGCGTGCGCCGTAGAAATGGAACAATCCCGTGACTTCCTCGCTTTTGTTTTACATACATTTTGCTGACTTTGCTGTTGCTAGTTTATGTGCCCCATGGTCACAGGTTTTGGCATTGCTCCACGCATAGGACAAGATTATTTACTCAACCCCATGGGGTTGAGCCCGGGAAAGTCCTCCACCCTAGGTTAGTTTAGCTTACATGACAGCGGATGATAATCTTAACAGTTTGACTTTGGGGCCGCGTCGTGGAGCTTTGTTGGCGAGGGGACCAAAGCAAAGGGGGACGAGGAAATCAACTTACCTCACGACTCACGTGCTTTACTAGTTTTTAATGGAGGCAGACTTGGAAACATGAGATGCCATTCTAATATGTAATATGCCCTTCCTGCGGCTGCGACTAATTCTAGCACTTATGTCACTATTGTTGCTTCGCTAAGCGTTGTGCTTGCAAGTCTTTTCTTTGCTAGAATTTCCGGGTTTGTTCTATGGAAAGTTATATGTCATCCTGTAGCATGTAAATCGAGTTTTGGCAATAAGCAGCACATGCTCCCTTGGAGTTCCAGGTTTTGGTTCATTGCCTGCTTAGATCATGAGGGCGTGCTTGCTTGAATGCCCCTCCCAGGAAAGTGGACGCCCAGGCATCGATCCGAACCCATTCGGACGCCTGGAAAAGCTTCTCGCGTCTTGTGTGGATGTAATCCAAACAGGCCCTCACTGCATTGCCTGTCAGACCATAAGTAATATCCTCTCAGCTTCAATTTACCTCACATTCACATAGAATCCAGTCATTTGAGCTTCTGTTTCCCTTCAGAAGAATATAATAGATTATCCTCTGTATACCTACTCTAATCTGCTGAGAAACATATGATTGGCATTATTACTGATATAAATTGCTTGGTTGACCTGGGCACCTCTGATTGGCCTGGCAAATAATATAAATATCATATCTAGGCTTTAGAGAGGGTCGATGAATGTTGATGCGAAAATGGATGACAAGGTTGATACTTGTGCATTACAGAAAGCCAACTAGTTGAGAAATTCTTATTTCCCATTGGACAAGCCAGATAAAACAGTTACAAAGTACCCTTTTTTTAGTGTAAGTGTGTAGCTCCATGTACAACTATGTGACTGAATCGTGCATTCAGTCAAGTGATTCTGTGAAATTGTTGATATGCCGCTTTCATACTTCTGTATGCATTTTTGTCCAAAACAATGCTTCGAATGGTAAACAACTAAACTGGGGGTTATAGATTGTATTATGCCTTTTCTTTTGCAGTAAAAGAATCTTGTCCGTACCCTCCAGACTAGTTTTCCCTTGAATAAGATGGACTAACTGGGTTTATGAATATCTTACAGGTGGTATTTACTCGACTTCGAACATGGTTCAATCAAGGATGATTATTGTGGGGGAAGGTCTGGATACAACTCAGAATTACCGAAGATCATGGAAACTAACCAATCTCCCCTTCGGAAGCGACCACGGAGAGATCGAAACCGTGAAAAGGCACCTTCCTCAAACAAAACTGAAGTAATGCAACAAGAGATCTGGAGAGATTTCCCTCAAGATCTTTTTGAAACTGTCATTGCAAGGCTTCCAGTTCCTGCAATTTTTCGATTCCGCACTGTCTGCCGAAAATGGTCTTCTCTTTTGGGCTCAGACAGTTTCTCTCATCAGTACTCTGAAGCTCCACGTGGACTGCCATGGTTCTACACAATCACCCATGAGAATGCAAACAACAATGTTGCAATGTATGATCCTTCGCTGAAGAAATGGCACCACCCATCCGTTCCTCTCACTCCTACAAAGATAGTTATTCCAGTGGCATCCGTGGGTGGTCTTGTATGTTTATTGGATCTGAGCCACAGGAATTTCTACATTTGCAACCCTCTTATGCAATCACTCAAGGAGATCCCACCAAGATCAGTCCAGGGATGGTCAAGAGTCGCTGTAGGGATGGTGTTGAATGGAAGTAGTTCTAGTGATGGCTACAAAGTAATGTGGTTAGGAAATGATGGGACTTATGAAGTCTATGACTCTACAAAGAACATGTGGTCTTGCCCTGGAACTTTTCCTCCGGGCATCAAACTTCCACTTGCTCTAAATTTCAGGTCACAGCCTGTGGCGGTTGGCAGCACGGTATACTTCATGTGCGCAGAACCAGATGGTGTTTTGTCATATGATGTAAGCACCGGGATTTGGAGGCAATTTGCCATCCCACTGCCACTGCATCTGACTGACCACACACTTGCCGAGTTCCAGGGAAGGGTTATGCTAGTGGGTCTGCTGTGCAAAAATGCAGCGACCTGTGTCTGCATATGGGAGTTGCAGAAGATGACTCTCCTCTGGAAGGAGGTGGACAGAATGCCAAATATCTGGTGCTTAGAGTTCTACGGTAAGCACATGAAGATGACATGCCTGGGCAACAGTGGTTTGCTCATGCTCTCCTTGAAGGCGAAGCGTATGAACCGCCTTGTTACATACAATCTTTTGAAAAGGGAGTGGCAGAAGGTTCCTGATTGCATGCTACCATGCAGCCGCAAAAAGCAATGGATAGCATGTGGCACAGCATTTGATCCGGTCCCCTGCGCCTTGGCCTGACATGGAATTTACCTTCTTTGGCCGAGCACGTTAATATTTTAGTCATTTCATATCATTGGCCTATCTTTAGATAATATTTCTATGTTGTTGTGACAAGTTCTGCAAAACCGCATCACTGTGGTTTGTTTTGTATCACGCTGAAGCAATCGAACCGTTTCCTTTTATTACCTGCTGCTACTTGGGTCAGTGCTACATCAATTGAGCAAGCCGACCTGAATATGTTTCATGGAAGTCAAAAATGGAACGCCAGGTATCTATCTGTATGGTCGTGGTTTTGGTATGTTTGGTCTGTGTCCCGTTAAGCATGTAATCTTTCTGAACTTGCAGTTACCTGCCCAGAACTGAGTTTATTATACAATAAAGACGGGGATGTTAATGTTTTGATTCTGGTGCATAGAGATGTAGTGGTGCTTGTTATTACCATGAAAATATCCGTACTTCTGTTTCAGGCTGCCTACAATTTGTGTGTTACCTGAAGCTGTTTTGATGCCTGCCTGAATTGTTCGCTGTGGCCTGCAGCTTCGTATGTTTCCAGTCATTCTGAAATCTACATTCGTACACTAGCCCCCGTGTCAAAAGCTTAGGTTTCTTATGTTTCTTATATGTAATGTAGATGCAGGGATATTTGGAGAAGCTTCTTGATCCTCGTATCTTATTGTGTTCTGAAATCTCGCTACAAAGCATAAACCGTGTATGATTCGATGTAAAAAAAAAATCTCAAACGGCGTAAAAAAAGGGAGTGACTAATGTCCAGATCTCTTGTATCACGCAGAAAAACAGATATCATCAGGCATCTTAGAACACAATTACAAGCAGAAAATCAGATATCGTATAAAACACAAAATGGCACACAGAAAAGGCACCCTCGGCAAACACGTTGGAGCTTCGATAGATGGTTCAAATATCTCATAGGAGGCAACCTCAAGTAGTCAAGTGCCAGTTTCCATCACTAACGCATGCTAAACATGGGGGGTTACATCCCTTCTCTCCGACTTTCAAATCAACACACAGCCTTGGGGTTAAATTGTTTTGGGTTTTAGTACAACACAAGCATGCTCTACTCTGAGTTGCAATGTCTCACAAACACAAGGTCTGATGAATGATCAGATCAACTATAACAAGAATGGTGGCGAGTTACTGTCATCAAGGAGCAGGAGCCGTAAGGCTGTTGCTACAAATATAGCTTAGACCGTTCCAGACTAGCAGGGATGCCAGGCAATAGAGAACTTGCATGTTGCATCTCTCCAGCATTATACTACCAATTATACTACCAACACGTTCAGGTCACCTTTGAGCATGGAAGGTCTCTCATCAGCATAGTTACCATGAGCAATCATCATATTAATTTATTTATGAGATCGCAGCAGCAAAATTTAAATCCAACAACCATACAGACAGTGTAAGTACTTGAATACAATCAGGGCCCAAAAAAACTAAACTAAACTCAACATGGTTCCTAACCCTGTGATAACCATTTTTCAGAACAGCCATTCCCAGCCTCTGGTTCATTCTTTTCCCATAAAGAGTAAATGCCTCACCGGTTGGTTTCTGGGCTGATAAGCCCGGCTGGTGCTGGTTTGTTGTGAGAGGAAAACACTGTTGGCTGACTGATAATCCTTGGCTGAAACCAACAAGCGAACAGGCTGGATCATCGGCATGCCTTCTTTTTCTTCTTATCTTTCTTACCAGACGCTTCGGTTTGCATTGCAACATCCTCACCATCCACGTCAGATGTCTTCTTCTTTTTCTTCTTCTCACCTTCTGAGGCAGCCACAGCAGGCTCCTCGCCCTCCTTGGACTTCTTTTTCTTTTTCTTCTCACCATCAGCTTCAACAGCAGGAGTCTCCTCGGTTTCCTTGGACTTCTTTTTCTTCTTCTTCTTCCGATCCTCCTGGTCACCATCCTCCTGGATTGCCTCCTCTTCAGGTTCTGCTGATGGTGCAGTTTCCGCCTCATGATGTTTCCTCTTCTTTGAAGCCAATTCTGACTTCTTTGGCGTTTCTTCGGTGGATTGTCCAAGCACCAGATCAGCTGCAGGGTTGTATGTCTAAAACAAAAGCAAAGCATCAAGTCAAAACACGTTCCTTAGTGCAGTACATTTAGAGCAAAATAAAAGGAGCGTTTGCCTAAGGATACTTTAGTAAAACGAATGGGGACCTTTTACAGTAACTAGTTAAAACAATCCAATACTAGAACAGCACAAGGTTCTGGAGAATATATTTCTTTAAGTGTTGGTCAAGCTTTCAGCCAAACTGTTCAAGATTTTTTTCCCATGGAGAGCAATATTAACACAGCTTACCTTAGCAGGAGTAGTCAAAGCCCCAGCACCCTTCTTCCTGTCCTTTTCATACACTTCTATCTTGGGCTTTCCTTTTGTGGAACCAGCAGATTTCCCAAGTTCTTTACGTTCAAGAACTTGAAGCCGTGTCTCAAGCTGTTCAATTGTAACGTGTCACAAGGCCATGTATATCATACAAACTATGAAAAGCAAAATTATTTCTACAGTTCATATACCTTGAGTCGACTCTCAGTGCCAATAGAGTTGTCCTCACCATCACCAAGGGCATCATATCGGATGGCAAGAGCAGTTTTTGCAGCAAGAGAACGAGATATTTTTCCCTTGTGCTTTTGAGAAGCCTTACCAATTAAGGATGCATGGTAAATGAGCCCATACTTAGGCGTAGAATGCTTTGTCTTTAGAGCTCTGAATAAAGCCTGTAGAGAAACACAATCTTTATTTCTTACTGGAGAAAGCAAATTCTAGCAGACAGCATAAGCAAATAAAGTTAACACATGCCATCAATTGATATCACTACAACATTATTAGTGAACAAACAATTAAAAAAAGAAGACACGGACAAGAAAGTCACATGATTTGCAAGATGTTAGACGATTTTATCAGACAACATAAGCAAATAATGTTTACATATGCCATACTAAGCATTGATGCACATAAGGTTCAGATACACACACAAAAGAGAGCTAGAAATTAAAACAATGTTCCAGAACCATTCATAAGCAGTAAACAAACCTTCTCTGCACCAAGTATCTGAATCGTGCTACCAGGTTGCTTGGCCAAGTTTAGCAAACTTCCACCATGCGCAATAAGGCGAGCACCAACTAATTCACCCACTAGTGCTGTCAGATTTGGCGCGATAGTGTTCATCCTGCTTCTTAAATACTCATACAACTGGGCTCTGTACTCAGAAAGGGCCAACACTTGATCACATAGCTCTCTGATATTTAACAAGTCAAGGTCACTAACTTCTGTTCCCATGGATATTACTGCAGCCTCCTTTAGCTGTGTTTCTAGCTCTTCATCTGACAATATCTGAAAACAACAGAGCTTCTTACTAAACAGTTTCCTTAATAGGCATGGTCACATGGAGATCATATTTGGATGTCAATAATTACCTCAGAGAAGTCAAGGTTGACTGCATTAGCTCTGTTGCCCATCATCTTCACAACTTTAGCATACTGTATATTATCTGTAACTATTTTGGTGAGCTCTGGAAAGTGCCAACCATACCATTCACGAACTCTCATGGCATAAGTGTTAAGCTCCTTGTCAAGATCATCCAGTAAGCCAATGGCCTGAATAATCATGGTATCAACCTGTGGAGAAGAAACAATATAAAATCACTTAAACAGGTCAAAATGGATTCTTTAATAACAAAGATCAAGAAGAATCTTCAATTATCAAAACTTGCAAGATGTTACATATTATGAGAATCGCAAATGTAAGCTAGATAACATAGCAACACCAAAGGGCAATCAAAGGATAAAAATGCACGAGTACAATATGGAAAATGATAAATAATTCATGCCAAGCACAAATGCTGACACAATAAAAGCCAGAAACAGAGCACATAACAGCATGATAAATAAGATGGCCACTCACCTTCTCAGGACTGAACTTCAGCTTATATCTAGACAAGCTGTGCGACAATCCCAAGCTCATTGGACCAAGGTCTTGTGCACCCAACCCAGTTATAAGCTCAGTGAGCTGATTTCTCAGCCCTCTCATCAGCTCCATCAGAGCACTATTGTGAAGGCAGTCGATTTTCTGCAACAGCACAATAAATGTTAAGGAGGGCTTGTCATTCTACAAAAAGTAACAGCTTGACAAACACTACTGACCAGCTTTTCTTTGATAGCATTTCCAAGCTTAGAATCAGCAACAGCTAATGTTTCACCCTCACAATGTTTCTGCAAGAACTTGCGCAGACCCTTGCTAGGCTTGCTATCAATAATCAGGGTTGCTGCAGATAGGGCATCAGATGTGTTCTCAAACTTGTTGAAAGCCTTTAGCTCAACCACCTACATGAAAGTTCACTATATTAGTCAGAACAGAAAACTAAGGTACAGAAGAAGGAAAGAATATAACTACGACGAGTCATCAAGTTTTATTTTCTTTTTCTTTTTTCTATATTTTGCATCTCATCGGATTCTTATTTCTTATTTTGCATTTGAACGAAACCTGTCTGTTAGAGGTCACACTATGCATGACTTCCAAATGCTTTCATCCATTATTTGCATATACAACTGGCGTCAGCATGAAATGGCAGCACAAATCTCTAGGCACTTGGCTTGAAAGGTGAAATATTTGAACTAGCTTTCAGAAAACGCATTCTGAAACATGTTCATATCCTGCCGGATAAATCCAGTGTTCCACCGAAGTAAAAGGATCAAATTGATACCATTTGCTCAAAAAGAGACGCAGAATATCATAACGTGACAGTGTTCCACCGAAATCACAAACCTTTCTCGCTGATTCCGACGTCGTGAACTCCTTCCATAGATCCTGCAAACAGAAACAGAAAGACATAGCACTGATACTTCAATAAACAAGCACGGGACAGACCAAATTTAACAAACCCAATCAAAACCAGGCTTAGAAATCCGCAGCGGCGGTCACTGACCTCGACCTTGTCGAGCTTCCCCTCGTCGAGCACCTTGAATAGGGCGAAACCCGCGGGGGTCTCGAAGAGCACCAACATCTCCTCCCAAAACTAGTCCCCCGCTCAACTCAGCTGCAAACAAATATCCACTCCCTTAGGCGACACGTGCGTTCTACGCAGCACGGCTCGTAGGCTCGTCGCCGGCGGCTGGAAAGCGGGGGCGCTCGCTCCTCCGGCCTCCCGCTGCTGCGCCTGCGGCTCGGCGTTGCGCGAGTGGGGAGGCGGCGCGGCGCGAAGCGGTCTGGCGTTGGGAGGGGTTTAGGGCACCGGGGTTGGGCCAGGTTACTGCCGTTCCGGTTGCCGCTTGTTGGGCTGTATGGGCCGTATCCTAGATACGTATCGGCCCACGAACTCAAAAGGCAGTGGGACAGCATTTGATCCGGTCCCCTACTCCTCTGTGACTTGGCCACATGGAAAATTTACCTTCTTCGGCCGAGCACGTTAATATTTTAGTCATTTCAAGTATCATTGATCAGATGAATATGTTGTTGCCTAAACCGTTTCCTGGGACTTCGTATAATTTCAGGCATTCTGAAATCTACACTAGCTCCCGTGTCAAAAAGTTTAGGTTTCTTATGTACAGTATCCTGATGTTGATGCAACAAAATGCAGGGATATACTTACTGTATACGATTCCGATTCAGAGGTACAAAGTTCACCCATAAGCTCAAACGGTGTAAAAAATGTATGAGTTCAGCTCCTGCAGGACAGCACCAACAATTTTCCAACCAGAGCTTTCTGCAACTACGATGCCTCTGCAGCTAGCTACACTAAGTTCTAAGACAAGAACCTGCCCCGTCCCTGAAACAACTGATTCGAACTGTCCATACCGAATTGCATATTTGGAAAAACGAACGCGACATCAACTATAGGAAAGGCAATGCATACTAGGGAGAAAAAACCAATGCCAAATCAACTTTGACATGCATCAATGTGCGGAAGCATACTAACAGCATAAAAAAGGTACGGTGGAAACTGAGGCGCATTTGTGTTGAGAAAATGGGAAGACATAGTCATGGATTTCTACGGCTCTCGATGCTTGCATCGAGAACGAGAACTGAGCTCATTGTACATGACAATTTAAGTCTGCAAAATCCTGATAGTAAGCTGCTACATCAGCACAACATAAGGTATATAATTTACAGTTCAAAAGGAAACAGCTTACCCCAACTGCTGCTAGGTCAAAGGATTAAAAAGTTTCAAACACAAAACTTAGGTACAGAGCAAGCTCCAGCTTCTAGTGTAAACTTATTTAGCACCACCAGATGGTGGAACTACATGAAGAAGCTCCTGTGGAGTTGAGCCTGGATCCAATTCGTAGCACCCCTTGGGAGCATTATGAGCTTCTTCTCCAGTAAGGACATGGAATGGCACTTGGTGTGAAAACCGCATCATCTCTTCCCTTGGTATCCTCCATCTTTTCGTTGCGTTGTGAAGGGGCTTAAACACTGACACAAACCCAGGAACTTTCACAATAGGCATCACAGAAATGCCTTTGGCAGGGTTGTAGCTATCAAGAATCTCAACCAGTTCATACTTGTAAATCATATCATCAGGTGTATATTGATCCCAGTCAGGAGACCAGTTCTGGTACAGAGCCCAGATATCACCTTTCTTAGGAAAAATTCTGATGATGCCTCCTGGACCTTTGTCACATTTGACCTTATGTGAGAAAATATTCACTTGGTCAATATGTCTGGACACACCAACCTTGAACTCACCGCAGATCTTGGAGTATCCATATGAGATCCAATTGGAGGCTCCGAGGTCGGCTAGTCTAACTTTAAAAGGGCGGGTTGAAATGACTTTTCTGATCAAAGTATAGTAGCGAGGCATACCATCTTCTTCATCATACATGGCCCATACTTGATCATTTTGAAATGAACTTTCAGAATGATCACCGAAACTGTTGAAATCTGCATCAGGGACACTGTACAAATCTGCATCAGGGATAGGCATTTTGTCAGAGCCTTCATCATGAGAAGGCTCTTGGTTCAAACAGCCATATTTGGCAGGCATATGGTGCTTTGTTGCCGGATTAGCACCAGTTACTTCATATCCCAGTTCCTTCTTGTGTTGCTTGCGGTTTCTCCTCGTGTATACTATGCGTACTTCAGGTACCCTCCGTTGCCATGACTTCAGCTTTTCTTCTAACCCAACCTGGTTACTGCACTTCTCCCTCTCCTTTTCTTCTGAATCAACCCTTTTGCTAACTAACTCCAGGACATCTTTTTTTGGATCAACTGAACTGCTGCTTTGTTTCATCTCGATTTTATTGACACCATTTTCTTTGTTGCATGCACCTTTTGCACTGCTTTTCCTTTTCTTACTATTCTGCACCTTTTCTTTGTTTTTCACTGGCTTGAAGTTTCCCCTTTTCAATTAGGATGCTACGGACATCTAACTTCATGAGCTCCCTGCTAAAGCTGGTCCTTCCAGCATTACTAGAAGATTCAGAGTTAAAATCACCAGAAGACACTTCGCGTTTCTTGGCACCTGATGTTTCAGAGGTTGAGCGAGGCTTTGTTTTTGCTGGGCACACTGGTTTGCATCCATCACCATCAGGGTAGGAGGTTGCCGACTGCCAGGTTCCTTGCTTGACAGCATTGGCGCGTTTTCTCTTTGCAGCTTCATGCTTCCTTGTTGCTGCATTTGCTTGTCTGACAGAAGAGACTGCATGTGCATGTTTCCTTGCAGCGTGCTGCAGAACTTCTCTGGAATGTGCTTCTTCATTTGCGGGAATACTAGCTCCAACTGCCTCCTCTTTTCTAATACTGTCACATGTTTGTTGGACCGTATGTCTAGTACTTTGGGCACATGTTGCAGATTTGAGCACTGTTGGATCGCAATTCTGATTGCCTTGTGACACTCCTGCCTGTACTCCTGGTGTCACCATGCCAGGAACTGTATTGCCACCAATGTTATTATTAGTAGCCATAGGCATTAGCTCACTAGGGCAAAACTGAACACCTGAAGTTGGTGGTCGAACTTCAGTAGCAACAAACACTGCATGACATTTAAGACACTTCAGTTGGTGGTTGAGGTATTCCCTGGAGTACTGAAAGTTCATAAGACATGAAGGGCAGAGTGTCCAGAATGTTTCTGTTGCTTCATGGGCGAGGTGGGGTGCCACTTTTCTCTGTCTGTCACAAAATCTATTCACACCTGACATAGAGGAGTTTGAAGTCTTACGGGCAGTTGCTTTGAAGTTATTCTGATGCACTGCTAGGGCATGCATCCGCCTCCTGTGGTCATGCACCATCCTCTTGGCATTATCGGACAACACATTCCAAGCATCTGAGATGAGGTTAAAAGCGGCTTTAGCACAAACAGAGCTATTCTTGTCAGGATGAGTTTGGAAGGCCAACTTCTTGTACTTCTTCTTGATTGCCTCCTCATCAGCCATTGGTGGCACTTCTAAGATCCCATACCAGTCATTCTCCCCTGCAATCTTTGTCTGTGCTCTTACATGGACATCTAAGGCTACAATCATCTGATCAATGCCTTCAAGCGGCTCAAAAAGAGCCTTTGCTTTGAGGGCAAACTTTTTCGCACCAGCAATATCATTCTCCATGAACTTCGTTTCAGCAATATCCTTTGATCGCACCGCATCATCTCTGTTGCACTCCATATCTGCAAGGTAAGTTTTATGAGTCTTGTTTCATCATAAAGCAAGAATATAACTCTGAAACTTCGACATGGCATGGACAGAACGGAGGTCTCGATCAAAACGAAGAAATAAGGGGACTCAGAGCTGGATTCAGCTACTGTATTTTCGATCAAGCACACTTAATGGAAGGGGGCTCATCAAATGTTCAGAACAATGCACATACATAGTTCTCAATAATGTCAAATACAATATTCACCGAAAACTCCACATTTAAGGAATGTAACTAGGCTTTCACACTTCTCACTGAATATGATATTCATATTTCCATTAAAAACAGATTGTGTTTCCATTAAAATCAGCACCAATCGGATTCGAACTGCAGTATTCATGTTTGGATGCCATAAGGAATTGAAGGAAGAGAATCGATTCCCGGAATGCACGACAGAATGAACAGAACAGTAATCGTATTGTATTAGGAGGGGGGGAAATGGACTTGCAAACAAGATCAATGTCCAAACAGACAACATAATCATAAACAATAGTTGGATAAAACAGTTTGGATTGCGACGAACCGAATCGGGGAGGAGCCGAATCGGCTGCGCGGAGGACTCCTAGCATCCGACGACGGAGAGGTCCTCGGCCTGCGCGACGGCGCGACGGTGCCCGTGGATAATGCGGACGTCACGGGGAGGGCGGCGGCAATGGACGACCATGGAGTCGCCGAAGGCAAGGGGAAGGAGCGGTGCAGCTCACCTCGTCGGCGATGAGGAGGACCTCATCGTCCGAGCCGAGAGGAGCACGATAGGGCGGTGGCGGCCCGCGTCACGGGGCGAGAGCGTCGAAGGGGAAGGGAGATCGATTACGGGGGTTGTGGGGAGGTACGGTAATGTGGGCTAAACTGAGATCCAGGGAACTGTTATACTTGGGGGGAAAAAAAGGTTTTACCAACAAAAGAGCCGCTTAATTATAACATGATTTATTTAGAGAAAAAAATATCAGGCGGATCGAGTTCCCACTCTAGAAAAACCAACTCCAACCTTCCCGTCCCATACTACTACAGGGTCGGTTACAGGTGACACTTACAGGAAACCAAAATTCTTGAAAAACTAGAATAATCATACTGTATTTATTACTACTATATAACCTTGATCCTGTAAAACTAGACAGCAACTCGAGACCGAAATATTATGGACTTACAATTTGAAAATTAACGAATGAATCAGGTTCCTTAAAACCTACCACGAACCAGGAAAGCGCGTGAATGCTCGTCCGTGGACTTGTGGCATCGGCTGTTTTGCAGAAATGACCTCTAAGTTATAAAAAATCAACCCACAGTCCCGTTCTATCGGGATATAAAGAACGCACGTTCATGTTGAAAAGTTAAATGATCCAGACGATCACTTTAGAAGTTCATAAACCCATATAAGAATGTAGAAAATGTTTAAAGACCCACAATGCATTTCAATCTTTGAGTAATATAATTGGTTTTCTAGATTTTCTATCGTTCAAAAGAAATTGTATTGCCTAGTGGATCATATTATGTTTGAATTTTGATATAGTGTGCCACATTATGGCATATATTGTATTAACTCAATACCACTTCATTATAACTATGCCACAACATATGGATTTGTGAACCAAACTACATGCTTTCTTTCGTTGTTTTTTTTGTGTGAGTTTAATGCCACTAGCATTTGGGCAAGTAAACCGTTCATCATTTTCATTGTGCCTTTACATATTCATGGCCCACCCAACATAATATGTTGGATCATGTATGCTCCCACTACAATATATGGTATTTAGCTCAAACCTGTTTGATAGCGTTAATACATTTGTTTCATGTTGACATTCTTAGTATAAATGCTTGTTCCTTTAACTCTTGTTGGAGCATAATGTGCACCTTAGATAACTAGTCGTTTTTAGTGATACCATCTCGATTAATCGGCTAATGTGTGTTGCAATTGTATCGTCAACTTTAATGATCTAATTTGTGCTTGTGTTGCAATTAAGTCCACTTCATAAACCTTTGTGACGCCCATTGTAGATCCCATAGTAAGAACTTCCCAATGTTGTACAACTAGACATGTCCTCGTATCGTAATGAAATCCTACCATTCTACCGAGATGGCATTGAGCTCCTTGCTACCTTTAATTTACTATCTCACAACTTCATTGAGTCCTTAATGTTGTCAATGATACGAATGCAAAGGATTTCATGCTCGGCTAGCTTCATGATCTTATAGTGTGATATCATAACCTTACAATCAACTACGGCTTGTTGTTGATGACATGGATGACTATAGCAGTACAAAGTAGGAATTTATATGTTGTCGTCATGCTAACCACAATTTTTTTTGCATCGAGGTAGGGATTGTCACACATGAGCCACCAATTGAACTTGGTAATGTTTTTGCCCTAAATGGCATTGGTTCTCTTATGATGGCAAGTTATATTTTTTGATAGTGATGCCATTTGATTGGTGGGCTCAAACTCTAGTGCAAGAACCATGTTTGTCATGCAACCACTATTCTCCATATTTGTTATTGTTTGTAGTTGGTATCACACAATAGATTAAATACATGTTGATAGCCTTAACTTGGACCGATTCTAGTGGGACAACAATGAATATCACCCATTCCTTCCAAAACTGGTTTTTGTGAGAGGTAAACGTGAATGCTCATTTTGTTTCCAAGACCATGCATTACAAGGGAAGGGTATGAGTTTCTATCAATACTCACTACCTCCTTATGTTACCTTTAGTAGAGTATCCTGTGAGGGGTATAATAAATCATATCTTGGTCGAGTGGCTTGAGCATAATAAGAGCCCCGCCTTGCCTCTTTAATGAGATGATTTGTTCCTCAATGCCTCATCGCTGCAAGTGATGTTTCACATAATCCCACCATCCACTTTGCATTCACATTGACTCATTGATGACCTTTCCTTGCTTTTGTAGTTGTGAGTTCGTTAGTTGGTCATTGTCGCATCTCGAGCAAGTCAGTTGTCATCTTCCCGTTACTGTATCTCCCACATAGTTGTCCCCTTCACCTAGCACCCATCTATTGCTCCTTATGTTACCATAAGGTGGGTGTTTCTTTGGGAACTTGGGATTGGGTACACCATAAGTGCATTGGCAATCAACCATGTACAAGGAACTTGACTTGCTGCCTTAGAATTTCAAGGCAGGCAAGACATAGTGAATCCAACAATGGGATGGGGGCTCAAGCCTCCTCACCCCTATCCTCACATGTAACATCTAGGGATGAACGAACAAGAGAAAGGAGAAAAGGCAGACGATGAAGGAGAAGAGAAGAAAGAGGAAGAAGACAGAGTGAGGAAGATGAGTTGCCATATATATCTTCACCACTAGTTGATGTGTTGTATTGAAGTCGGTTAGGTTTAAGTTTATTTGTTGCCTTGTTCTTTTTAGATAGATGTTATATGTCGCATATGCAAATCAAATTGTTTTTTCACATACCCCTCTTGTTTTGCCGCCAGTGGGCCCTCCTATCGCCTTATTGTTGTCATCATTTAGGGTTAGGGTTCAGAGTTCTTAGGTTTGAGTTATTCTCTATAGGTTTAAAGGGAGACCCTTGGACCAGTGGTTGGTGATATAATGGTGCCCTATCATAGAAAAGTTAGCATGGAGGTAGGCCACGACAAGCCACTGCCTGAGGCAGTGAATGCTGGCAAAACAGGGCAACATAAGCAGGAAAAGCTTATAGAAGATGAGGAACACGAAGGACGGAGCTTGTGGGCCATGGAGATGGAGGGGAGCATTGCCGGCACATTGAGAGATGGATCACTTCTAGTCTCTTATGGCCCTATGGTACATATAGAAGGTCCTTTCCTTTTACAAATCAATTACAATCTCGTATGGCCTAGGCTACATATAGCCCCATTCTTTTGAAGCATAATTAGACAGACATGAGCAGTGCTATGGGTGCAACCCATTAATATTTCGCCAACCACTGTTGTGTGGATCTAGTGCTTAACCAACTTTCCAAGTTTACATTGGAAACATTGGCCTCTTAAATATGCTGTGAAATAGTGTAAACCCTAACATGTTTGTTTACTAGATAGTTAGACCTAAAACTAAAATCATGTGTTCACACCTAAAATTTTTAGCCAAATTGAATGAAATTTGTTGTAAATGATTTAATGTAATCAGAAACTGCATTGCGCCAATAAGCATCTTTCTTTGAACATATGGATCACATGATGAATCAACATACTGGCTACAACATCTAGTACTGTATTACCCGCAAAAATTAAGTTTATTTATGAATTTCCGGACAACCCAGCTTGCATCCCTACTAAACTCATTCCAAACCAATAGACACATGTATCTATACAATTTATAGAAAACCGAACACTAATCCATGAGTTCAACCCATTCAAACCCCAAAAAAGAACCCTATCCAATACATCAGATGCATACGTACTTGAGAACCCATTAAACAGCGTCCATGTGTGCTATAGGCCCTAATATAAGGTAGCTCCACATTAGAGATTGAGAAAGTGTAATGTAGTTAAACATTAGAAATCGAGAAAGTGGGACGTGATTTTGTTATAGCTGGTATTGCCACCGTAGCTCAGCATTAGAAACCGAGAAAGTGGGATGTGATTTTGTTGATACAATCCGTGCTTGTGAGTAATATATAGCATGGCAACAGAGATGGAGGGGCTGCTTGTTTCCAGCAAGCCTTGCCTCACCTCGCCTGGCCAAGCAAGCCTTGCCTTGCCCAGGCGGGCGAGCCAATTTGGCTCTCCCACACGAGCAAGGCAAAACCTTGCCTGCACAGACTACGAGGTAAGCTGGCTCAAGAACCAAACACAAGTTTACAACTAATTTGCAACCTAGCAAGGCAGCATAGGAGATAGAAACGAATCCAAGATACAATTTGGGCTACCCACCCGGGATGGCAACGCTTTTATAGGTTTTATATTGCTATAATATATATATCTCGCAGGCACAACAGTCAGCATATGCCCAAAGTCTTCAAGTCTGCCAAACTTTGGGAGTACAAAAGACGCCTCAAAATCCAGATATTTTGCACTAGCTTGCTTCGATACCGATGTGTAAACGCAGGCCTCTGGTTTTCTTCGTAACAAAAACAAAACTTGACCAATCTATGAGTTACAAAATAGATACCTAAATTCGCCTCGTGAACTAGATGGTCTCCCACATCCTCAACTAAGCTAGAATCCATTTTTTTTTCTGATAACATATAGCCATGTAAACCACGATCAAAGTTAATTGCCAACTTCTCAACAAGGACCATAGGTGAATTCTCCACGTTAGTGTGAATGCAAGTAAAATGATCTAACATACAACAAAAGTGGCTACCGGCATCTAACAGCATAGAACTGGAGTTACATTTGCAGATTTCACATTCTTTGCCTCTGCCTCGTATTAATCTCTTCGTCTTGTTCCACCTGTCACAGATGGGCAACAAATGAATTAATAACCAACCAAGAACTCAGCTAATCCAAACCAACTTTGACAACATTGACTTCGCTCCTCAAACAAAGGCAATTCAATAACAAAAGCATGCTTTCAACAAATTTCGTCACAGATGATTCCATCCATGAAGTTTTGAACAGTGTTGTGATCAAGAATATTGGGCAGTATCCTACAAGCAACTCATTTTACTACTAACATAGATATGTGACGACTGCTAAGTAAACAATCGAATTTTGTGATGGCCTGATGGGCATTTGGGCAGAGTAGATAACTATCGGGGCAACTACATGTATCAGAGAGTCAAGAGAAAAACTAAGAAAATACTGAGATTAAATTAGTATCTTGCAATATTTACCTCAGTCATAACCTTCCTAGACCTTTTCCCAGCATTTTGCTTCGAATTAGAAGAGGATCCCTTGGGTTTCTTTGATACTGGATCATCCAAAACATCATCTTCATCTGTGCCTCCTGCATCCAATTTACATTTAAAAAAAAAAGACCACAGTAACAGTCTAATACTATAATCCTTTACATGCAAGTGCTGCACCTTGCACATACTAGCAGACCAAGAGCCCAAGACAGTTTATAATGAAGTATTCAAGGTCCATAAGACATGACATGGAAAGTTTCAGCAAAACATCTTTACCATCACTGAGGCCTTCAAAGTCTTCCATATCTTCCATGTCATCCATCTCTTCCATATCATCACCTTCGACATATTCCATCTCGCCTTCCTGTTTTATCAAGTGAACACATGTCAAAGCTGGTGAACACAAAGAACATAGAAACAAACCGTGCCTGAAGGTACCAAGTACAATGCTTACTTCTTCCTCCTCTTCTACAGGAGCCACTTCACCTTTTTCCATATCAAGAACAACACCAAACTCTTTGAAGGGAACATTATAGATGTCACCATAAACACCTTTAGTCAGGCGCTCCTTCAATTCATTTTCAAGATTCTGCATGGTAACAAGTATATGTTACTGTGTGACAATGGACAGAGAAAATGATAAAAGAGAAACTATATAAGAAAATAACCCTTTCTAATTGAGCAGCCCTTTCAGCTTTGTCCAATCTCCGGAGATCCCGCTGTGTTTGCTTCCTGGGCATTGTCATGACCTTCTCCCTAAAAGAATGGAAGCATATGTCAAACAACTTATCATGTTACACGGAAGTTAAAAACACATCACAATATACTCATTTCCTGATGATACTTAGCTACAGACAAACTGCACATCAGAGCAAAGAATAATCTATCTAAAAGCAGAGCAAGGATCGGAACCGAATACACCTCAAGACAGCCATTTTAATATTCTAAATTACTGGCATTTCCCATTCTTACCCATCTTAATTCAGAATTCCAATAATTACACTTAGTGTTAGTTTTGATAGGCATGAACTAGGTTCAATCATTTGGCTGATATAAGGACACTAAACTCCCTGCCAATCATAAAGGATTTGGTCTAATCTTCATTTAACCAAACAAGACCGTAACACAAAATTTGGTTGATGCAGCCTACACTATTGCATAGGATGGGAATCCAAAACAGAATAGAGATTTTAACATTCAAACAATCACAGAAACCTAAAATCTGGAAAACCAAACACAAAATCCTAATGTAGATTATTACTATTGTTTCAACAGGATTGTACAAACTATGCACAAGGCATTTCTCATGCAATAGTCCTCTCCTTCATGATCTGCAATATAAATTCGTGAGCTACAAATTAACTACTTCCACATTGGAATATTTTTCTTTGCTATGCTTAAATGAATATTGTTTTTTTGAATGTATTAAACGAATATTGTTTCCAGCCTGAAATTCAGAGGCTCTCCTAAGTTAAAAGAAATTGATTCAAAATGTACATATGGATCTACCTTCTTGTTTATCATTTTTTAGTAAATCGATATAAAGAACACGGTGATACCAACTGAACAGAATCATGAATTAATTATTATATGTTATCCTTAAACTATATGCTACTGAATATTTAAAATAGAAAAATATTTTTAAAAAACTATACTACATCCTATAGTATTTAAAATAGAAGTGCCTACCTCACTTTCAGTTGAAGTTTCCTCATTCTTATACGATACTGAGTCATTTTTGTCAGCCGTTGTTTGATCTTGTGCACAAGTAACTTAGGCCAAAATTCCTTCATGACAAAAAAATCCAAGAAATTAGACCAAATACTATAATTTTAAGGAGTGACAGTATACGTTAGCTAGAGATGCATACAAGATGCTTGTTTATGACATCCATTGCTTTCTCGTAATTCTTCGGCAGTTTGACTCTCTCCCATAATTTGTTTGGCAGATGAGCTCTTTCAGCAGTTTTCATGTACAGATAGAAAACACCTGCACAGCCATTTTAGGAGGAAACATAATGTGATAACATCAGAAAAAAGATTTTGGTGACCAATAAGCATATGCTCCCCTCAAAATTAATAGCCCATAGCACGAAAAATAAAGGTGCATAAGGAACTGGCAGATCTGTTAACCACAAGATTAAAATCTGCACCATTGGACAAAACTTATGTTGCAACTCATCATGGTTTCTGTGTAATTTCATCCAAATAGCACCACATCCCAGCATAATTTGTTCTCACAGAAAGAAAAGGCAAACTTACAGACTTACAGTTATAAAGCAGTACTCTAATATTCTTGACTCCACAAAGCAGTCTTCTTAATTGTGATTAATCACAACCAAAGTCACAACTAACTAATTCCACAAAAAAGATCATTCATCTCGTCTCCAGAAAGAACAGCTACAAAGCTAACTTAATGTTTTTTTCAATCTAATAATAGAAGGGAAAGTGCAGCATCCAAATTTGATTGGTTTGGTAAAACTAAAGAGGCTTTGAATTTGATTGGCTTGCTAGTTGCCATGCCATACTGAGTTGAGTGTTGGGTGACCTCGGAGGCAAGGAGCTAAGGCCTTCCTCAACGCTGCTTTTTCACTTGTAGCCCCAAGGGCCATGTAGGATCGGATAAAAAAAAGTAGGTGCTCTACACTTGTCATAGTGGCTTGGAGAAGCTACATATGCTTGGGGAGAGAGAAGGTGGTCCATGCTAAAAAAAGAAGAGGGATCCCTCTCACATCGGATGTTTGACACTAATTTGGAGTATTAAACGTAGACTAATTACAAAATTAACTACACAGATTGAGATTAATTTACGAGATGAATCTATTAAGCCTAATTAGGCACATGTTTAGTCCTTCTAATTAGTATCCGAATACATGATGTGACACCTCCTAAACTATAGTCCCTGGATCCAAACACCCCCGGTGAGGCATGATGAAGGGAAAAAGTTTTTGTGCAAACCACACGCAGTGATAGTTTGCATCTCAACATTTCCTAGCCTACGTGGATCACTTTATTTGTACTAGAACTACGTACTAGAACTACTAAGAGTGTTATCCTCCATTGGTGGTGCCCTAAGGAACATGTTTGAGACCCAACATGTTTTGCGGCTCTATCCATGTAGTACATCATTATTAATTAACACAAAAAGGGGAAGCATTGCATTGCAGTGATCACCATCATGATCCCGGATGGTAGCATAGCGACTGTTGGCAAGCGGGCAGGAGCTCCGGTTGCAGATTCCCGTCGCGTTGTAGGGATTGCGGCAGAATATCCCTGTCGTGATCCTGCACAACCCAACCCACGGGGACGCCGTCAGATGAGATTCCACATCGGAAACAGCCACACAAGAAACCGAGACGAGAGCAGGGAGGAAAAACAAGGCCACTTACTTGGCCATGAAGCTGCAGTGGTTGTGGCGGATGCAGTGCCATATCACGTCGTCGCTCATTTTGGACCCCGCCGCCCGGGCCGGCTCCTCCCCTGCTTAATTTCCGAGCCGCCGCTGGGCTCGTCGGAGCGCTCGGGTCTCCCTGCCGCCTCTGATCGCCCCGCGAGGCCTGAGCGAGGGAGCGCGACGGGGAGTCCTCGCCGTCGACAGGGAAGGGGACGGGGAAGGGAGCCGGCAATCGGGGAGGAGAGGAGGCGGGGTATAGGGTTTGGGGAGCTGCTTTTGCGGCGAGTGGGCTGGCAGTGGAAGCATTGGCGAGTGCTGCGGGCTGATATGAGCCGACCGATGAGATATGGACGTACATGATGGAACCCATGTCGTGTGTGCGCTGGAAAGGATAGGTAGGCCTGGGCTAGCTAGCGCTTGCAGCCCAATACAGTAGGCTTACTTGCCTATGAGAAAGCCCAGCCCATCATGCATTCACTCAAGTGGGCCCGAGTCAAATCAACAGTTTGTAGGGCCCATGGATGGATGGATTCACTCAAGCGGAGAAGTACCGACGATGGGCCAGGCTGAGATGGATGGATCATGGATCAAGCGAAGATGACAGTGGTGTTGGTGTCTTGGTGAACGAGGCAACGACGACTTAGCATGACACTGAGGTAGTGAGGTGCATGGCAGCATTGCGTTGTGGTAGCGCCGTAGCAAAGGGGGCAATGATCGAATGCAAAGAAAGAGGAAGACGGGAGGCAAGTTTGCGGCGGCGGTGGTGATCGATAGACATTAGAAAAGAGGTAGACTATCTCTTTTTTTTGGATGGGGGATCCAACGTCTGTCAAAGGATTTGACGGAGTGCTGTGAGGGTACGACCCCAGATATCTACGGCAGACCATGGGCTGCGCCCCAGCCCGGGATACAACGTCTGTCAAAGGATTTGATGGAGTGCCATGCTACGTATACGGGAAAAGTTTCAGTAGCGATTATTATCCCCACGAAGCAGTCTTGGTCTTGAACATTCATTGCAGATTCACGACATGTGGCAATGCATGCATATGATGTCTGAGACCGAGAGAGAGGTGCAGTTTTTCTTTTTTGCAACTACTATTGGCTAATAATGGTCATTTAGGCCATTTACACACCATTTAAACGCTACACGGTACACTCGTTTCCGTTTAACCGACAGCTTATCCTATTTATTTAAATGTTTATTTTATCCATTTAAGTGGCTATTTAGCCTGAATATGGCTAAACGACAAGTGATCAATTGTCGTTTAGCGTTAACATTGTAAAATTTACGCAGCAAAAGCCATTTATTGAACTATAGATACAGCATGAGGACGTTCTCCATTGAATTTTCTTCAGCGTATATATGTATGCACTTGCTGGGTGCTCGCGCGGGAGCTGCTCCCTTCGTGGCGGTTGGAACGAATTGGAACTGCGTGTGCGATTATAAGTTATGTCGGCTTTATGAGCACCCGTGTCAAGAATCCATCGTCCCGGCCGGCCGGCCGGCTGCTCCGCCTGCCTTGGCAGCCTTGCTGATGCTTTCCAATTGTCAATTGCTAGCTAGAGACAGCGCCACGTACAGCGGCGCGCGTAGAGCAACGCAATCGCATGCGACGTGACGCGCGAGCTCTGCAGGCTGCGTCGTCGTCGTGCATGGTCGTCGTCTGCAGGCTGCAGCAGCACACGTACGTGCATGGCCGCGTAAGTTGTGCTGCATCTGAGTCTGAGCGACTGAGCGCATATGCATGCTTGCTCTTGCAGACGTAAGACACTACTGGATTCAGGTTCTTTGCCGAGTGCCTGAGGCACTCGGCAAAGGCTAAATTGCACTCGGCAAAGCCTTTGCCGAGTGCAGCACTCGGCAAAGAACACATGGTAAAAATTTGATCGGTAAAGCCCTCTTTGCCGAGTGTCTTTTATCGGGCACTCGGCAAAGAAAAGCGACCGTCACAGCGCCAGTCCCGTTGACGGTCTCTTTGCCGAGTGCCAACCCTGCAGGCACTCGGCAAAGATTTTTTATTTTTTTTAAAAAAAATTCTTTGCCGAGTGCCCCTAGCCAGCGCTCGGCAAAGTTTGATTTTTTTTTTAAATTTCTTTGCCGAGTGCCCTATGGCTGGCACTCGGCAAAGTTTGAATTTTTTTTAAAAAAATTTCTTTGCCGAGTGCCCTATGGCTGGCACTCGGCAAAGTTTGAATTTTTTTTAAAAAAAATTTCTTGCCGAGTGGCACTCTGGCTGGCACTCGGCAAAGTTTGAATTTTTTTTTTAAAAAAATTCTTTGCCGAGTGCCCTCTGGCTGTCACTCGGCAAAGTTTGATTTTTTTTTAAATTTCTTTGCCGAGTGCCCTCTGGCTAGCACTCGACAAAGTTTGATTTTTTTTTAAAAAAAATTCTTTGCTCCCCAAATGCATCATCAGGATGAATCTGCATCAAAACATTAGCCATCAGTTCCAAAGGCTACACCTAAGAGGCAAAATATAGTACACCATGAGAATGATTCGACCTACTCATATAAGAAAAAGACAGCAGTGGAGAACTTTGAGATGCCCAACTCACGATAGCATCAGTGGCAGTCGGGTCAAGGTAAATAAGCACACACTCTGCAATTATAAAGGTTGGCAAGCTGATGACAACAGAAAGTTATATCAAACACTTGAAAGCTTGGTTTATATTAAAAAGACATAGAAACTACATCATGCATGTATCCTAATTGATGGTGTCCCTATATTGTGTGGCATATTTTCTAGTTCAACATGTTTTCATATCAGAAGAGAAAAGAAGCTTACCTAGGATCCATTTCAGCCATGCGAATAACTGAATCCAGTTTTGGTATGTCACGAATATCAGCAGAAAATAGCTTGTAATGCGTGCTTATTACTTCACCTTTTTCTGAAATAGATGGATAATTTATTGCGCAGGCTACAGGCACATCAAGAAAAAGAAATGTCCAATTCTGTAACATGTAGTGGTCACTCTAACTTGCAATTCTACTTGAATCTGAAAGTAATATTTTGCAAAAGTTCATTATCCATTTTAAGTTTTGAAGTTCTCACAACGAGACAAAGAGAGTTTTCTTCCAAACAGGACGGAACGGCTACCTCTGAAACCAAACGAAAAAGGAACTTTTTCTGCTATGGTAACTAGTACTTTATGCTTCTCCAAGGACCATTTATTTGCTACTATAAATCAGTGGATACACATTAGTGAGAATTTGACAAAAGGTGACTTGAATTTTCTGTATGGAATATAAGACTTGACTACTATTGCTACTCAGTAAACAACACGTCTCCTTGTATGTGTTTAAACACAAATATCTGTGAGATACAACAGAAATAGGATAAGAGGCAGACATATAGTGAATAATTGACAAATAGATAGTTCTAAAAGGATATTTTAGTATAGTGCATGAAATTGTTTAGGAGTTTGGGTCAATCCAATTACAAATTGGAAGGACCCAACCTGCAAAAAGGGATGATACACAGAGAGATAGTTCAGTTGACAACGAATTGGTAACTGCAGCATACCTCTTGCTTACCTTTATACTTGATTTCTTACACAGAAAAATAAAAAATGAAACATTTCTATAGCACTGTATATCCCCTTGCCGCAAGGAGGGACTTTCACATCAAAATTGGAGTGACAAGCTACCCCAGTTCATGTGACGGAGCATTTATGAAGTAAATGATAGAGGACATACCAGGCAATAACAAAAGATCAACAGGGGAAGATGATGACAATACTGCAAGGATAAAAAGAGGATCAGAAGTAGTGAATACATGTAAAGTTAACCACCCCATGGATGCAGTAACTTATATACATTAGACAGGGCAGGTAGTGAATACATGTCAACTTAAACACCCCATCGATGCAGTAACTTATATATATAGATGTGGAGAAAGCTTTTTGCAGTAACATGGAAATGAAATTTCATACCATCTTCACGATCATTCCCGGTAGCATCCACAGGTGATGGTTCCAGAATGTTCATTGAATTCTTAACTAAATCATCCATGGTGGTGATTTTGAGCATCCGCATATTACTGTTCTTATCCTCCACTCGAGGAACATAAAGATCCTTTGCCAGTTCCTCTTGTCCTTAAGGAAAACCTAATTGTTAGTGACAGAATCAGTAACGAGCATAACTACAGATGGACTCACCAGGATTCGATGATAGACACCCTTCTAGTATTTTTGATGTATCGACTTCTCGCAACTGCTGACAGCTTATATAAGCACACAACCGTTTGCTTGCTTTGAACCAAGCAGAATCTAAGATTGTAGTTTGAATAGCCAGATCTAGAAAAACAAGAAATTTTTTACCTCCAAATACTCAAATCAAACAACACAATGAAAACTTTGTCCCAGAAAGTAACAGTAGTATAGTATAGACATCTCCATACTAGTTAAGGTCTCTAAAGTATAGTCCACTTAGTTGCACTAATGTAAAAGCAAAGTTAGAGCACAGCAATCTTTAATTTTGCTAGTGCCTGCCCTGACGCTTTCATTATCTTAATTGTAAATACACCATTTATCTGTAGTAAGGAATCAAATAGCATTTCGCATCAGGTTCTCAGACACGCCCCAATGTTACAGTCTCATGAAGTTGAAATAAAATGTAAAATCTACCGTGAAGTTACACAAATTTTTCACAACCCTTCTACTCCTAACTACTAAGCGTCCAGTCTGTGTCTTCGTAAAAAGCTAGCAAAGTAGCACGGGCAAAGCGCACTCCCTAGTTGGCAAATCCGACGAACATGTGGTGACCAACACCCCCCAACAACCGCGTTACAGAACCGGAATCGAAGCAGACACACTCGAAGCAGGTCGCGAGGCATCACCTTCGCTGGCCGCGGCGTCGTCGTTGGTGGCGTGCACGGCCGCCGGGCTGCTCCGCGTGGCGGCGCTGCCTCCCCCACCTTCAGCCGAAGCTGACGCCTCCATCCAGCTGGGGCGCGGGGAGGGGCTGCGGCGGGCGGCGCACGGCGTCGGCGGGGCCCGGTGGCTGGCGGGCGCGGGGACGGCCGGGAGCGGCGCGCGCGGGGGCTCTCTGTGTGGCTTGGACTGTGCCCGGGCGAACTCGCTTAAGTGCCCCCACCCACCCCTTTGCCGAGCGCCGGATCAGCCACTCGGCAAAGGAGTCAATTTTGCCGAGTGCCCCGATCCGGCCGTCGGCATAAAGAGAAAATTTCTAAAAAAAAATCAGAACCTTCTTTGCCGAGTGCTTTATCCGTAGCACTCGACAAAGACTCTCTTTGCTGAGTATCATGCCCCGGCACTCGGTAAAGTTTTTTTATTTTTTTGTTTTTGGTCTCCAAATTTTTTGTGTAGCCCTTTTAAAGTATCAGGAACTCCTAATTAGAATTTGGACATTTTTTATGGTTTTTTGATATATTTAGTTACTTTATTTTGTTTACTTGAATTTTTTTCAAAAAATATAAATTTGAACTACCCGTGGTACGAATAATGGAATTTAATGATTCAAAAAATGATAGTCATGTTAGTGAGTGTAGTGTGAGGCCGTATCCAGGAACGGACCCGAAATTTCGGACATCTTGTTCACGAAACATGACCGCGAACTTGCGTGCGAAGTGTTTTTAAATTCTATAAAAAGCAAATGAATTCCGAAAATCATGAAACTTGTTGAGATGTCGTGATATCATATGTGGAGGCTATGATAAAAATTTGAGAATGTTTGATGCACGTTGTCACGTACAATGCTTACAAATCAGGACATTTCCACATTGCGCTTCAGATATCACATGTAGAGATGTCCTGGTTTGTAAGCATCGTACGTGACAACGTGCACGAAATCTTCTGAAATTTTTATCATAACCTCCACATATGATATCACGACATCTCAATAAGTTTTATGATTTTCGGACTTCGTTTGTTTTTTTATAGAATTTAAAAACACTTCACACATAATTTCGCGGACATGTTTCGTGAACAAGATGTCCGAAATTTTGGGTCCGTTCCTGGATACGGCCTCTCACAACACTCACTAACATGACTATAAATTTTTGAATGATTAAACTCCATTATTCGTACCACGTGCAGTTCAAATTTCTATTTTTCGAAAAAATTCAAGTAAACGAAATAAAGTAACTAAATATATCAAAAAGCCAAAAAAAATCCCCAAATTGTAACTAGAAATTCCTGGCGTTTTAAAAGGGCTGCACAAAAAAATTGGAAGCCAAAAACAAAAAAACAAAAAAAACATTGCTGAGTGGCGGGGAATGGCACTCGGCAAAGGGTGTCTTTGCCGAGTGCCAGGCATAAGACACTCGGCAAAGAGTGTTTTAATTTTTTTTAAAAAATTTCCTCTTTGCCGAGTGCATCCACAGGAGCACTCGGCAAAGAAATTATAAAAAAAAAAATCTTTGCCGAGTGCCGTGCCAGAGGCACTCGGCAAAATATTTTTTTTTTAAAAAAATAAATCTTTGCCGAGTGCCAGATCTAGGGCACTCGGCAAAGATTTTTTTTTAAAAAAAAATAAATCTTTGTCGAGTGCCTAACAGCAGGCACTCGGCAAAGAACGCCGTGACCGAACGCCGTTTCGCGGGCAGCCTATGCCGAGTGTAGAGATTTTGCCGAGAGTCTGGCACTCGACAAAGAAGTCCTTTGCCGAGTGCCGTTGTTTGCCGAGTGTCCGGCACTCGGCAAATAACTCTTTGGCGAGTGCAATTCTTTGCCGAGTGCAGCACTCGGTAAAGAAGGTCTTTGCCGAGTGCCCGATTTTTTACACTCGGCAAAGAATTTTACACTCGGTAAAGTCTCTGTTTCCAGTAGTGAGAGCGTCGGCAGGGCACACGCGGCCATGCATGCATGGATCCAGAGAAATCGTCCATACAAATCCTGGTAGGGGCGGCCGACGTTATCAACCGCCCCTACAAATGACCATATTTACAGGTACGGCTGGCCACTCCTACAAATCCGATTTGTATGGTCGGCTGGATATAAAGCCGCCCCTACAAATAGACGCCGAATAGTAAAAATAAAGTACTAAAATTTGAATTTTTTCAAACGATCTTGAATGGAGAAATAACCAAAATAAAAGTTGTAGATCTCGAAAAGTTATAGAACTTTGTTGTTTACAACTTTTCCATTTGAAATCATTTACTGTTTTAAAATAACGTTTGAAATTCAATTTTTTTAAAATTGTTGAAGAAGTTTGATTTCTCTTTTTAATCTCCGGCTAAAACTCGTAACTAGTCTTTCTCCCTCACACTAACTTCAAATTTGATGGTTTTTTTTCCTAAATTTTTCTAAAATCATGCTCTATCAATATACTGTGTTCGTATAGCTATATTTTGGTCATCTTTTCATGTGACTTTGTTTTATCCCATGAGTCATTTGCCCTAAACACCGTAAAAATGGATTTGTGCATGCTGCTTGTCCTTTTTGTGTATTCGACCGATCACCATTTATTTTTTATTTCAAAATAGTGTGGTATATAGACGCTCTGTACATAAACATATACTCACCATGTTATAAACATATATATATATATATATATATATATATATATATATATATATATATGAACGCATATACTATACTAATATTGTAGCATGTCATATATAGCTTGAGATTGACAAAGTCACCACAAAATGACTCGTGATCGAGGGTCAAGGTCAAGTGGTCAACGGTCAAGCCCCTACCCATCTTTTTATATCGGAGTATTTGGCCAACAAAATAAGTGTCCATGTTAATTCTCAAGGTAGAGAGATTTCCATGCTAAATAGAGAAAGATAAAATGCCCTCTGTCCTGAAATAACTATAAGGTATCTTAGGAATTATATAACAAATTATCGTGTAATGCAAATGACGTATGTAACCCTCACTTAACTATAGAGAGACTTTGTGCTTACTGCCTCTGTCCTGATATGTTATTAATGACTCATCATACACCAAAAAAAAAAGAACCAACAAATATACTTATGTGCCTATTTTTCTATTATTGGCTACACATGCCATTATCCGCCATTCTCTATTATGTAGAAATTCCTTTATTAAAGAAGTTGAAGCCAACTTTATTTACTGCACATGCATTCAGAAGTTTCAGATCAAGTTCGCTTAAAAAAAAAGACACATCATTTCAATTTGAGAGTTCAAAACATAAAATGGAAAACAAATAGCTTCTTTGTGCTGGATCAAAAACTGAGTCTTTTGCCTTTTATTAACAAAATGATATTTAAAGTTCTAGTTCAAACGTAGATGTGCATTTTGAAAGTTTAGGGTCCTAGATGCGCACTCTGCCAAGTTTGAACCTATGACGTACCATGTGCTAAGTTTAAGGATTTTGGATGTGCATTTTAGGAGTTTGGCGACCTAGATGACACCCTTTGCCAAGTTTAGGCACCGCTAATGTATTTTACTCCAAAGATTTCTTCCTTGTGTTTTTTGAGAAATCAAGCTTTTTTATACACGGGTTCTGGTGCGAGGCCCTCATGCATGTATCGGGCGACCATGCATGGAGCGCGAGCCGTGACGCTGACGCCCGCCATCTATCTCATTTCCAGAAGGTGTACGTGCATGCAATGCGCCGATGCCATTGCCAATATAAATTGTCGTGCATGCATATGTACGTCAACGCCTTTCACGCGGCGACGTGCATGGACGTGTACCCGGGCACCCGGCCGATTGACAATAACTAACCTGCTGGCAGCCGTGTTCCGTGTGTAGAAGGATCGGACAGTCGCAAGCGGTAGCAGGCTAGCTAGCAGCTACGTACATAGCAGCTCCTCTCGTGCATTATCCTCTCGATGGTTAATCATGGCACGCCGCAGACGAAGAGGACGGCCGGACTTGCATATGCATTCTTCATAGTGTGTGTGTGTGTGTATGCAGCCACGTACTACGTGAATGAAGAATGAATGTACATTAATTTGCGTGCACACCGGAACCAAAACATGCACATACATATATGTACTGCCGCCAACGTGTATGTACAGTACGTGCACTACGAGACACGGTCGATGGCGATAGATCCTTTGTCCGTTCTCGGCTCTCCGGCTGGGCAGTCACATGCATGGCATGGCAGGCAGTAGGCACGCAGGCAGGGGCAGGGGCGTCACGCAGATAACCGGCCGGCCGGTCACTGCATGCAGCATGCATATTGCTGCAATGTTCATATACGACTTGTCTCTCCCGTTCATGCATGCTACCACTGTAGTACGTGGTGGCGGACTGGCGGCCCGGCAACGCACGAGCGTACCACTAGTGCAGTAACAGGCAGCAGCCAGCAGCTGCTGCCGGCGACGTACGACGACGGCACGGCGTGGTCATCCATGCAACGCGGCCCGTACTTCTGTTCTAGTCTACCGGGCCTGCAGCTAGGGCAGTATGCAGGGATAGCTGGCACCACTGTAGTGTACTGTGTGTACTGCATTTGGATCCTTGTTTTCCTGCCTCGATTAATAGCTCCGGCCAGCCGCTGTATGCCTTCTGTGTTTGTGCTGGTAGTGTAGCGCGTGGCAACCAACAAAGCAGTAATAAATGAACAACCCGGACCCGGCCTATCTCGTCTAGCTCTCTCCTCTCGACCGTCCGGCAGCTGGAGCGGCGGAGCGAGGAACACCAGGTGTCTCTCTAGCTCATCACCAGGTGTTCTAAAAATCTACTACTAGTACGTAGTAGTAATTTTCTGTAGCCCTGATGAGCTGCGCTGCGTCTGATCTCACTTCACCCAGTCACCCTTGTGTTTCGATCATCTTCTTCTTCTTCATCATCCGATCATACCTAGGAGTAGCTAGGATCGTTCAAATGCAACAATCATGCATGATGCATCGTCATCTATTCGATCATATGTACTGCATGTATATCTCGATCGGAGCACGCGCGCAGTAGATGGAGGGATGGATGGAGCGCATGCAGGCCGTGGATGTAGTCAGTGGCCAGTGCTACTACCTGTCTGTCTACGAGTATCTCGCATGTGTCGGCCTGAAAAGTCGGGGCAACGCGGCACGCGGAGCAGGGAGTGCTCACTGCTCGGTCAGGGTCTCAGGGAGGGAAAGCGAGACAAGTGAGCTGCAGCATTGTGAACGAATTCGTGATATGCAAAAATCCAGTAATATAATCCCTGGATCTGAATCTGAGACGATCGAGGTAGCCTAGCTAGCCATCGAGTGTGGCCTTGACTTTCAGTTTCTTCTCTTCCGATCCTTTACACGACCACCGGGCCACGGAGGCACGGACTGAACAACAAATTAAGGCGTGGAGGATGGACATGGACAATGATCGATCTGATTACTACTGCTAGCTAGTAGCTCTGACTTGACTACCTTTTCAGCTCTCTCTCTCTCTCACTCACTCACTCTCTCTCTCTCTCTCTCTCTCTCTCTCTCTCTCTCTCTCTCTCTCTCTGCAACTGCAAGCTAAAGATGCAATAAAATCTCCTGCGCCGTACTACACGCTGTATAGCTATACATATTCAGTTTTGAGCTAACGACGCACTGTCCAGTCCGTAGATACTACGGAGTACTAGATACTCCTAGTTACCAAGCCATTGTTCTGATTTCCTTGTGAAGTGTATATGGCAGTAGTGTACCAAGCTAAGCTAAGCCAATCATGTGTGCTCCCATTCCTGAGACAACGGCCGGGCAAATACATACTAATATGGCCGCGCGAGCATCAACCGCCAGCTAGCTGCCGGCACATTATTGGTCAAATTAGCTCATCAACAAGACAGTGTGCATGCTGCTTGCTTAGTTTATCCGCGCATGCTTCCCTAGTGCTCGCCGCTTGGATGGTCGGTCGTTTGGTAGCTACGAATCTGACAGGGATACAAACACACACACATGTCATGATCTATGCTGATGAATTGATGATATGATATGAGTATTCTCCGGCCGGCAGGTCCAGTCCTAGCTAGAGGCAATTGACCAGCTGTTTGTATTGTACTGTATTATATTGCTGCTGGATCGTATTATTATCTCTGGAGCAACCAATCCAAACCCAAGCATGCGTGTCGAGTCGTTTTAATTTGTTTATGAAGAGACAGCAGTTGTATGCTGGCTGCTGCTCAACCTCAAGCCTCAGCCAGTAAAGATTAAGGATGAAAACAGAACGGAAATATCCCGAACCAAACCGCATCGTTTTCTATATTTAATCTGATCGAATCCGTATTTTCTTATCCGACTTTACCGTTTTCGTTTTCGCATTTTAGATGTTTCGTATTTCAAATATAAAAGTAGAAAACGGTTTAGACATTTTTCGACCGTTTTCTACTTTTCTACTTTTAATTTGAAATATTCCGAATTGAAAATTCGGTTTAAACCGAATTTGGCCAACTGCACCGGTCATACAGCCCAATTACAGGTTGTTCACCACGCAGTTGCGTTCTTTCTACTGGTGGTCAGCTGCCTCTCTTATAGACGGCGCCCAGCCTCATCTCCCTTCACCTCACGATGTGGTTCTAAATGGCAGGAAGCCAGCAGCATCTACACGAAAACCCACCTGGGCCATAGCCCATCAAGCTCATCGGTTTAACCCTCACCTGCAAAGTCAATCATTTGATAGTTTTTGCCTCGGCCAAATAAATCTTTGTTACTCAAAAGAAAAATCTGAATAAATCTTTAAAATAAAATACTACATCTATTCCAAAAAGATTAATAAAATTATTCTGATTCAGTTTGAGTTCATGTTTCTATAATATGCACTTGTTAATTATTATATGCACTTGAACTTGATCATGCATGCACTTAGTCATGCACTTGGTCCTATGGGTCGGTATTCCGTATTGAGTTTTCGTATATCGATCGTATTCGACATAAATCCACTCGAATTGGTTCGTTTTCGAAATTCTAGATATTTCGTAAGTTCGCGCTCGTTTTCGTGTCCGGCTTTATCGTTTCCGTTTTCGTTTTCGTATTTCAAATATAAAAATAGAAAACAATTTAGGAGTTTTTCAACCGTTTCCAACCGTTTTCATCCTCAGTAAAGATGCGGCCGTACACGCTTGCTGGTGGTGCCAGACTCCCGGTTCATCGCTATCAGCATGTGTTACCATCTTTGTTTAATATATATAAACATATACTAGTATATACATATGCATATATGTATAGTTTGTAAAGTGTGGTATGTGTGGACGACATTCTTGTTTGTGGGGCCGGGTAGCTTAACTGGACGACAGAACACAATAATGTCGATGGAGTCTTTTTATCAGCCGGCTTATCAGCTAACAGTATTTTTCTTTCGCAACATATCAGTTTCAGCCGGCTTTAATATCAGCCTGCAATTACTAGGGTGCTGCATTATTGGACACACACATGTGTACTAGCTCCGACACTACGAGCTACTCCTGGATTGCTCAAATAAATATTGCACACTATTGCTTCCTCCAACTCCAACTGCTCGCAGGGGCAGCACGCAACAGGGTAGTGTGCAGCGGTGGCCGGCCGGCCTGCAATGCATTTGCTTGGGGTTGCTGGTACGCATATATATACTATATATGCTACCACTGCCCAAGTCTACGAGTTTCAGTTTCAGTCGTGTAGGACGACTCATCAGAGTCACAGGGAGACGAAAGTCCAATTGCAGCGCCATGCCGGGTCCGGGATCGTAGAGCGAGGGTGATGAACTGCAATTCTGCACAAAATCTTAAAAAAAAAAACTGCAGAAGCATGCAGGCAGGCGGCAGCAGCACAAACAAATAAATGGAAGGCACCGATGATTTGCCTGTTGCATGCTTTTCAGTTGTGGAACTGATGAAGCAGTGATACCTAGACAGACAGACAGGAGCTAGCTACGGGGTCGGTTGTCTAGCTTCAGAAAGAGTTGCATACTACAGCAACGACAAAATGCAGAAACAGAATTCAGCCGCGCGGCCGGCTTGCATTCCAAACCGATCGAATGCTTCCTTTCCTGACCTAACCTAAACAAATGGTCCATGCATTTGCATGCACATCCAACTCGATCAATCCCCCATCTTTAGGTGGCTTTGTCTCTGTTGTGTTCACCGCACATGCATGATTAAAAGGAAGGGACTGTGGAGTGTGAAGGGACCCTCTCCTCTCCACCTCCCGACCTAGAAACCCTCGCTCCGATCTGCCTTTTCCCCGGCTCTGCTCCCCATCTCTATCGTCGTTCATCGCCATCCATCTGCATCTCATCCTGTCCCCTTCGTTCCCCGCATTATTACCTCCGAAATGGCGAAATCCATTGCGTGCCAATTTGCATGTGCATGATCCTGTTTGCCCATGAAAATTCAGATCAAAATCCATCTGTATCAAAATTCAGCTAGCATATGCTCCCCCCAAAATCCATCTGTATCATAGGTTTGCCCACAACCAAGCATGCCCTCTTTTTTTTTCAATCTAGTGATAGAAGGGAAAGAGAAGCATCCAAATTTCATTGGTTTAATGCTAAAACTAAAAAGGCTTGGAATTTGATTGGTTCGCTACATATAGTTGCGATGCCATATTAGTGATGCCATACTGAGTTGAGTGCTTGGGTGTGCCTTGGAGGCAAGAGGGAGCTAAGGAACATGCTTTGAAGCTGACTCAAAATGGCGGTATCGCTATCCATGTAGTTAATCATTACAAATTAACACAAAAGGGGAAGCATTGCATTGCAGCGATCCATGATCACGGATGGTGTGGCATAGTGACTCGTCAGATGAGATTTGTCATCACAAACAACCACACAAGAAACCGAAACCGAGACGAGTAGAGTGAGAGAGAAAAGAAGGCTTACTCGGCCATGAAAGGATAGATGGGCCTGGGGCGCATGCAGCCCAGTAAAGTAGGCTTACTTGCCTATCAGAAAGGCCAGCCCATCATTCATTCACTCAAGTGGGCCCGAGTCAAATCAATTTCTCCCCTGCCTCTCATCAATAAATAATTTTTTTCGTTTCTAAAAAAATGAATAAATAAATTTTCACGTTTTAGTTTCCACTTGCTTCTGTAGTGATAATTATGAGTTTGGTCCCCCATTTCTGTCGACCCAATTATGGATATATGGAGTAGCTTTTTTGGATGGGGATGATTACTGGGGAGCGATAGATCTTACTGACGGAGCACGGTAGATGGGGATCGACACTAGTCCGACGCGACGCTTGCTGTCGCCCGTGCTCTCTCTCACTGCATGCCTATTAATGCGCGTGTGGTAGTCTAATGTGTTCCGGGATGTCATTCAAGTTCTTAAACTCTTATTAAAATACATATTATTATGTATTAGAACTTGTTTTCGCGTGTCGTCGTCTAGGATCAAAACTTTAGAGATGGTATTTTTAGGTACCGAGACTTGACATAGTGTGTCATCTAGGTACCTGGAGTTGCCATAGTTTGTCACTTAAGATCCAAATAGACATGATCTACTCTTCATCAGGAGGCCACATGCCACGGAGTTTGGATCCAAAACCAGACCATTATTAACCGGGAGAGAAACTTAGTGACAAAGCAATCGTTCGCCTACCCCTCGTGCCTAAGAAGCACTACTGATGACGTCTTGGACTTCAATGTGGAGGATGAATGGATGATGAAGACATGAGTGGGGATGGTGAGTTGGTGATGACTGTGATGCGATGCCTCACGCGACAGCCGCAACGTCGACCGAGGACTTCATCGCTGCTTTCAAGAAGCCGCTCATGATGCCTGTCTTGTCGTCACCTCCACGATTGCGGCTAACCTGGGTGGCCAGAGCGCGGGCGGGGGAGCTGGACGACTCAGAGCTTGTCCCCAAGAGGAGCGCTAGGCTTGCCGCCAAGAGCAGGCACAGGGAACAGAAGCCGGAGGCTCAGGCGCGAAGGGTGATGATGAAATGCCTCGGGTTCAAGGTGGAGACTGAGCTGCCTGACGAAGCCTCCTTTGAGGAATTCCAGACCGCCTTCAAACTCCCCCTGTTGACGTCGACGCGGGAAGCCATGCATGTCATCTTCCCAGGCAGGAACCTGCGGGCCTAGACGCTCGCTTTCGTCTTGCTGAGTTGGTCGAAAAAAACCTTTCCTATGTAATTTTTTCTAAGTGTATCCAGTAGCTAGGTGGTAAGGTGCGTTGTGTCACGAAGGCTCCTCGCTTGCGTGATCGCGCACGGGTGTACTGATGACTATTTTTCTCTTAAAGAAAAACGGGTGAACGGCCCGATCGTCGAAAAAAAGTCAAGTTCGGATATCTAAAAATGCATTTTGCCAATTCGAGGATCGTAGCTATGTGACATCAAGGGACAAGTTTAAGAACCTTTGGAGCATTTTTCTTGATATATCTATGCATGCATATACAGTATGTGGAAGTATCTGGACGACATGCATCGAGGACGTACGACGACACAAGCACCGCCATGCATGATGCATTGCGTACGTACTGCACCAGTGCACCTCCTCGAGCTTGCAGACGCACGTTTCAAAATGCCAAAACTGGTCGATCTCTCAGCCTGTATGACTGAGCAAATGTCTACCACCGTACCGACTGGCAAAGAGAAGTAAATTACTGTCATCAAGATGAATACATCCAAAGGAGTGATTAACTGAAGGCTGCTAGGTGGGCCTGCCTATCTTTGAATGTTTTAATGACAAATACAGCAGTTTTAGGGGGTGTTTGGATGTGGTGACTAAAATTTAGAAGATGTCACGTGAGGATGTCGTATGGGATGTTCGGATACTAATAAAAAAAATAAATTACAGAATCCGTCAGTACTCCACGGGAAGATTTTATTAAGCCTAATTAATCCATCATTAGTACATGTTTACTGTAGCACCACATTGTCAAATCATGGACTAATTAGGCTTAAAAGATTCATCTCGTAAATTAGTCTCAAACTGTGCAATTAGTTTCGTAATTAGTCTATATTTAATACTCCATGCATGTGTCCAAATATTCGATGGGACAACGACTAAAGTTTACTGTCGGGGAAGGCGCCGGGTGCATCGGACGTCGGGGAGGCTATAGCTAACCTACTCCACAAACCATATACTCCCTCTATCCCTAAACGTGTGTCGCCAGAGTTTGCATGCCCGATAAGTTTGACTTGATTTATAGAAAAATACGTATAATATTTGTGTCTTTAAATAAATTTATTAAAAAACTATATTCAAATATCTATCCAATGATATTAATTATGTGTTATAAATATTAATATTTTTAATATATATTTAATCAAAATTGTTTCTTGGTAAGCGAAAACGAGAAAGGACGGTGGGAGTAAGCATCATCGCTCGGTGGAGATCCTGCGGCATGCATATTTAGTTTAGCCGATGGGATGCATGCATGAACTGCGTGATCAGACTTCCGAGGCAACTGGCCAGAAAAGGACTGTTGTCGACCGTAGGTCCGTAGCAACAGCAACTGAAAGTGCAGCTCAGCGCCTGAACCTGCTGCCACCGTGTCTCGCTGTTGTGAATTATGAGCACTCTGTATATGAACATATCACTGACCGTGCAATGAACGCGCACACGCACATACAAGCACCATGTGTCGCGGGATTTTTTTAAAATAAATTTATTGTATATATATAGCACTGCTATATGGTACCCTGGGTACTGTGTATATACGAGCCTGGCTTTCATGTTATTTTGTTGCATAGTAAAAAAATGGTAAATTAATGGAAGAAAAGGTCAATAGAATATTCCATTAAAAAACCGGTAAGCTAACCGAATATTATATCACATTATAGAGGAAGAATTGGATGATGAAATAAATAGCATATGTAAATGACTTTTTTTTTGAACAAATATGAAAATGGCTTGTATGTTGATAGATTAAAGATTAGAAGTATTCACATAATAGATCGAGATGATGTGGATAATATAGTTTGTGTACTTAATAAGGATGATACTAATAGTTTGCATGAAAGGATTGCAAAAGTTAGTGGGCACTTGGTGAGAAATGATGTGGACACATTACATAAAGAGATATGAACAACTCTACTAGTATTTATTTGAACTTGGGAGGATCTCCATATATTTTTTTTTCTGTGAATATATATGGTGAAAGTTAGAGAACTGAGTTAGAGACAAAGGCAGTGCAAACTACTCTCTCCATTCCAAACTGTAAGTCTTGTTCTGGCTTTTCTAGATATATTATTTTTACTATATACGTAAACATAATATATATCTAGGTGTATAGCAAAAATAATATATTTAGAAAAGACAAAACGACTTACAATTTGGAACGAGCTGAGTGAGCACAACTTTAAAAGGGAGGGAGCACTTGTTAATTGTTATTCGTGAAAAGGAATCTCATTACTTGTTATGCGTGAAAAGGAATCTCATTCCTACAAATGAAATGAAGCCTATGTGAGAAATGAAATGAAGGCTATGGAGTAGTATAGTAGTATGCCCTATAGACGGGTCCTGTTGCGTACGAGTGCCTGCGTGTGTACCTGTATCCTCCGGCCGGTGTGGTGGCAAGTCAGCGCTCGATGGACGGATCGGATCGGACGCGGATGGAATGCCAAGTCGATCGACGGGGACACGGGGTGACCATGCATCTCAGTTCCGGCCAGAAGGTGTAACGCCATTGCCGCCATGCATGCATATGTACGTCAACCTAACGGATCCCTTCACGCGGCAACGTGCATCGATCGGTCATCGGTGCATGCACGTACTGACGTGTACGTACCCGATTGACCGTGTGATTTGCATTATATTGGCAGCCGTGTGTATGCAGAAGGATCGGGCACTCGCTAGCTTAAATCATGCATGCATGGCACGACGAGTCGACGAAGAGGATCGGACCGGACGGCCTATATGCACTTATGCAGCCACGTACGTGAATGAATGTACGTACATTACATTTGCATGCAGGCACACATGCAAGAACCAAAACTTGTACGGCCGCCAACGCGTACGTACGACGTACTATATGTACTACCACCCATATGGCCAGATATACACATACATACACGTACAGTATATAGTATTTATATACTCGTACGTGCACTACAAGACGCGGTCGCTGGCGATCGATCCTGTGTCCGTTCTCGGCTGCCCGGGCGCCTGGTACATCACATGGCAGGCAGGGGGCACGGCAGGGGCGTCATACGTGTAGCCGTGTCAGTGTCCATATACACGTACACGTGCCCGGCTGGCAACCCACGAGCGTACATATGTACGTATACGTTCACGGCCATGTGGCGAATAAGGGGCGCGTGACGACAACGTACTACACTTGATGTGTTTAGCAGCTCCATTGCATGAATTGCGGCGCACCGGTACGTATAAACACCACACATCACACACGGCATGCAGTAGCTACCGGGCCAGCAGACACAGGGCATGCAGTAGCCAGCTCACGTTAGCGCTCAGCGCCTTGCATGTACGTACACGCGCTCAGCTGCTAGCGCAGTAGTAGCGCACAGCCATGCATGGCTTGGTCTCCGCGCCGAGCACCAGCAACGACGCCCATGCCGTACTTTACGTATTATACGCGCGCAGAACCAGAACAGACATGCATCATGCATGGGCATTGATACATGCTGGCTGCTGGCCCCCTGTTACGTCCGTACGTGTATACATACAATTAGCACTGTGCTGCATCTGGAGGGATCCTAGGCTTGCTTCGAGATGTCCGGCCGCCTGCGTGCTGCTGGCTGCTGCATGCGCCATTGCCAGGGTGTTGGCGCAGTGCCAGTGCCAGCGCGTGGCAACCAACAGGCAACAGCAGTAAATTTTAATGAAACCGGCCTAGCAGTAGCAGCTCACTCTCTCGTGTCTCGTCGTCTCTCGTCTCTCTCCCCGCCGGAATGCAGCTGGAGCCCAGGAGCGAGCAAGTGGTTTCTACTAGCTGCATGCTGCCTGGATGAGGGGATGCTGTGATCGATCGATCTGACCATGTTTTTTTTCCTTCTCCATCATCCTGCACTCCTTCAACAATCATGCACTGTCATCTGTTCGATTAGAGCACGCTTGCAGGGAGTGGATGGAGCGCAGCCGCAGCCGCAGGGGCCATTGGGTCAAGAGCCCAAGACACACACGACGCCAATGCATGCAAGTGGCCATGGATGGTAGTCAGTGCCCACTGATGCATGCTAAGCTACCACCTGTCTATACCTCGCATGTGCCGGCCTGAAAAGTCGGGGCAACGGCACGCAGAGTCAGAGCAGGCAGGGAGTGCCCACTGCTCACAGTCACGGTCAGGGCGGAGGGAAAGCGAGCGAGACAAGTGGTAGCCGCAGCAGCAGTACTCTCGATCACTCTCGGTGGTTGCAATGAATGAATTCGTGATGCATCATCCAGCAGTAATCCCTCTGCACCGATCTGAATCTGATCGAGGTAAGGTAGCCTAGGCATCGACCATTGAGTGTGGCCTTGACATTCAGTTTCTTCTCCTGATCCATCACGGCCACGGACTGACCAACGAAATTAAGGTGCGTGGACAGTGATCGATCGATTACTGCTACTAGCTCTGAGTTGAACCATACCTTTTCTGCTCTCACTCTCTGCAAGCTAGTACTAAGATCCAATCAAAATCTCCTGCGCCGTACTACACGCTGTGTATAGCTTACAGTTAGTTTAACTGCATTTGAGCTAGCTAGAGTCATGCATGGGGTGAGTACCCTGCGTCCCAGCGCCTGTCTCGGGCCTGCCTGCCTCGATGATCTGCCGGCCAGTAGTCGGTCGTAGCTCAGCCTACCAGCTCTCGATCGCAGCGTAGTAGCACGGAGCCGCGTTAAATTCCCGCACAGCTAGCAATTCGGAACCTGAATGACCATCGATGATCTACACGGACTGTCCAGTCGTAGTAGTCTGTATATACAGTAGTATAGACACCCATGACCCATTGCTCTGAATTGGGGTTGTGTATGGTACCACCAGCCTAATTAAGCCAATCACGTGTGCTCCCGTTACAGAGAACGGGCAAATACTAAATATATGGCCGCCAGCAGTAATGGACAGCTAGCTGCCGGCACATTATTGGTCAAAGCTCATCAACAAGACGACAGTGTGCTGCTTAGTGTTTTAGTCTA